TATGATATGGGTGATCCAAGTCCAGTGATTCTCAAACCTGAGCAGATTTGCCAGAGAAGTGTGGTTTTTAAACTTTTACTGTTCTCTTATGGATTCTTTATTTAAGATCAAAACATGAGCCAGAGAGATAGTACAGTGGTAGGGCGCTTGCCTTGCCCTCAGCTGATCAGGTTTGATCCTCAGCACTACATATGGTCCCCCGAAGCTCTGCCAGGAGTAATCTCTGAATGCAAAGCCAGGAGTAAGACCTGAGCACAGCTGGCATGACTCCAAAACAACAACCACAACAAAAGATCAGAACATACTTCACTATCACTTTTCAGAAACACACAGGTAAGAACAGGTAAGATGTATTTAGGGCATCCATACTTCCCCAAGGGTAGTTAGTGCTAAGCCAGCAAAGTGTGTTTGGCATGCCAACATGTCTTGAGGAAAGAGCTTGCTAGAACCAAAAATTCTTGCACTTTTTCCACTTGTAACCCCTTTTCTCTGAGAAATGCAACATGGATTAGCACTGCCAGAAACACCTGGGATTTCAGAGGCTGATATTGAATATACTTTTGATCATTGTACATTCAAAGACCACTGACTTCCACATTCATATTTGTGACCCTGCGATGTAGTGCAACCCACATGTAAGAAACTAGGTGCTAGATGATGGTCCCTTACTAAAAGGATGCCAACTATTTTTGTGGATTGCAGCATCAATGCTGAATTGAATAACTTGATCTGATTCAGAGTAGAAGCATTAGCAGAGAAGTTGGGAAAGGGAATGTTTCAGATGGCCGAACAGGAGAAATATCTGGAAGCATAAATAAAAACTGACATCCTGGTTTGATTAGGACATAAATTATTAATCATCCTCTAAATACCAAAGTATTACAAAGATGTGGTTCCTCCAAGATGTTAATAGCTGAACTTTTCTGAGTTTTGAAATGCATGTAGCAGACTGTAGACTATACAAAGCAAGACAAACTTACAGCTGTGCAAATAAAAAATAGACTACAATGTGAATTAGGAAATGGAAAAAAAAATGTGTCCTTCCCCCACCCCCCACCCTCACCTCCCTATACAAACACCCAGTGATTCCTTGCATATTTAAAATTGAATCACCATATACATAGGTTGCTTAAATTAATCAGGGCCTTTTTTTAAATGTTAATATAACTAAGGTTGAAAAATATTAGGTTCCTGAACAGAGTAGAGCAGAGTTTCCCAGTAGGTTACAGATGAAGTATGAGATATCAATGGTAGGACAGTTCTCTCTTTTTTTTTTTTTTGCAAGGGAACAGAGGTAGCTTTTTGGGTGACACCTGGCGATGCTCAGGCGTTGCTCCTGGCTGTGCACTCAGGAATTATTCCTGGCGGTGTTCAGGGGACCATATGGGATGCCAGGGATCTAACGCAGGCTGGCTTCGTTCAAGGCAACCGCCCTACCCGCTGAACTATCACTCTGGTCCCAATAGTAGGATAGTGCTTACAATAATAATGTACTTTAACCATTTTAAACAATCAAGTAAAAGCTGGCAACAGTTGGAAGTTAAATTTTAACTTTGCTGTGTGACTTCCTGTGTTAAAAATCTCACTCAGACATTTTTCCCATTCTGGAGAATCTTGTTATCTCTTGAACACATATCTTTCTCTTTCTTCTCACATTTTTCTAAGTAAATTTCTTTAAATTTACTTCACTAAAACCAAAACCAAATACTCAATTCAGGAAGATAGGGGCCAGAGCGATGGTACAGAGGGTAGGGCGTTTGCCTTGCACACGGCCTACCCGGATTAAGTCCCTGACATCCCATATGGTCCCCGAAGAACCACCAGGAGTGTTTCCTGAGTGCAAAGCCAGATGTAACCCCTGAGCAGACCAGGTTATGACCCAAAAAGCAAAAAAAAAAAAAAAAAAAAAAAAATCAGAAAAATGTAGTATGCCTATTATCTGACACTAGAGGGCAGTTTGTCCTCAGAATGCCAGGTAGCACTTTCCCACGATGTGTCATTTCAGATGTTATTTTTTAATGTTTTCTATGGCATTAAAAGATCACAACAATAATTCACTTCAGTTTTTAATATTTGTAGAATTTTAATTACATAAATCATAAAATAGATGACTTATTGCAGTTACAACAAAAATATCAATAAACATCTGTAGCACTGCCCTGTAGCACTGTCCTCCCGTTGTTCATCGATTTGCTCAAGCAGGCACCAGTAACGTCTCACAGCAAATTGTAAGACTTGTTGTTACTGTTTTTGGCATATCGAATACATCAGGGGTAGCTTGCCAGGCTTTGCCGTGCGGACACGATACTCTCAGTAGCTTGCCGGGCTCTCCGAGAGGAGTGGAGGAATCGAACCCCAGTCGGCTGCATGCAAGACAAACTCCCTACCCGCTGTGCTATCGCTCCAGCCCATCAATAAACATCAGTCCTTTAAATTGAGTAAATTTAACGATAGAAAAAACTTACATTGACTTTGTCTCCTTTTTGTTTAGGAGCTAACAAACTTCAGATTTTTGAGGTCTTCTGTTTTAAAAACACTGAGTAAAGACAATAAATATTGATTTTAAAGATTTGATGGGAGCCCTGTACTATAGAACTTCTATATTAATTTCCAAGTGTGCTTTTTGCTATACATATTAAAATTTATACGTACTTCTGAGCATCAACTAAGTATCAGAAGAAAAGTCCCACAGAATATCTGGGCTTTATTTCTAGGGAAACAACTTAACAAAATATAAGATGTGAACTCTGAGAATCTAAGGATTCATAAATGTCTATCTAGAACCAGTCTCTGTTCAACAAGTCCAGAGGAAGAATAAGTATTCGATATAATTGATTGGACCTAATTATATAAGTGTTTCAATAAACATGTGCAAGATTTAGAGACAGCTCTGAGAGTACACATTCATTACTTGTGAAGAGTAGAGGTGCTAATTGCCATTTTTCTGAAACATGGATCATAAAGTGACCGCTGAAAACATCTCAGGGTTATTCTGTAGTCTCTTATTTTTCTTACCAATGAAGGAGTTGAGTGTCTGCATGCAAAAAGTATTTCCCATACTGGATTAGAAAATATCTCTATAGTTGTTAGTTGGGGGACCTCACTAGTTGTGTTTGGGAACTTCTGGCTCTGTGATCAGTTCAAAGGTTGGGAGTAATGCAGTGTCTGGTATCAAATCCGGATCTTCCTCTTGCAAGCCATATATTTGACCCTCATTTTTTTAGGTCCGGGATGGGCGGGGGAGACTGTCACACCTGGCTATGCTCAGCTTATGCCTGATTCCCTGCTCAGGGATTACTCCTGGTGGTGCTGAGGGGATACACACTGTTAGGGATTCAACCTGTGTTGACCATGCAAGGCAAGTCCCTCACGTTCCTTATCTGCTGTTCTATGTCTCCAGACTCTCATTCTTCACCCTTAGAGATCTTAGGAGCCCAAGAATCACTCCCTGGATGCTTCGGGGACTGTGGATTGACAGGGGACATTGTGGTGCCAGGAATCAAACTCAGGGCATGGCACATGTTATACATGTGATGCGCTGCTTGAACTATCACCCTGGCCCTTATCATTTTGCACTTTGATACTTGAAGAATACTTCTCTTCTCTTCTCTTCTCTTCTCTTCTCTTCTCTTCTCTTCTCTTCTCTTCTCTTCTCTTCTCTTCTCTTCTCTTCCCTTCCCTTCCCTTCCCTTCCCTTCCCTTCTCTTCTCTCCTCTCCTCTCCTCTCCTCTCCTCTCCTCTCCTCTCCTCTCCTCTCCCCGCCTCTCCCCTCCCCTCCTCTCCTCTCCTCTCCTCTCCCCTCCTTTCCTCTCCCCTCCCCTCCTGTCCTCTCCCCTCCCCTCCTCTCCTCTCCTCTCCCCTCCTCTCCTCTCCTCTCCTCTCCCCTCCTCTCCTCTCCCCTCCCCTCCTCTCCCTTCCCCTCCCCTCCCCTCCTCTCTTCTCCTCTCCCCTCCCCTCCCCTCCCCTCCCCTTCCCTTTCGTTCCCCCCTCTCTCTCTCCAATTATCTTTAGTGAGTCATCAGTATTAAAAATGATTTGTGTTGGGAGCTGGAGCGATAGCACAACAGTAGGGCCTTTGCCTTGCACGTGGCTGACCTGGGCTCGATTCCCAGCATCCCATATGGCCCCTTGAGCACCACCAGGAATAATTCCTGAGTGCATGAGCCAGGAGTAACCCCAGTGCATCACCGGGTGTGACCCAAAAAGAAAAAAAGAATTATTTGTGCAAGAAATGCTGCTTCATTCTTTTCCCCAAAACACAAAAGGCTCTAGCCCAGTAGGACAGCAAAGGCAAGATCTTTGAACTATTGGTTAACTTCCTCCTTGCTTCAGCTGTGAAACTGGCCTCTGATAATATCTGTTGAATTAGGCTTTTCATTATAATTATACACGGTCCATGATTCAGCTTCACTTGGAAACACACCTGTGGTTTGCATTTAAAAATAACATGGATCCATAGGCTCAACCATAGCAAACATTCATTGTAAGAAAAGTGACATTTCAATTAAAAAGTGACTTAGAAATAAATATATTTTAACTTTTTGCTCTATGTTTTGCATACTACTTAAAAATTCGTGATAATTTATAACTACTCGCCATAGATATATGAGATATTTTCATAGAAAGATACAGTTTTAAAATCATAGTTTTGCATGATAGAAAACCACATTTTGTTTTTAAGAACATTTTAATCATCTCCCATGATTAAAACCAACGGTTTTTCTGCATTCTCCCAAAATTATGTTCGCCCTCATGTGATTGTTGATAACTAAGAATAATTCATAAAATATACTGACAATTTCTGATAAGCACTAAAAGCTGTTCTAAGAGTCCTAAGCCAGTATTCTTACAGAGCGTATAACAGGTGTTCCCACTCCCTGTGTCTTTTGTATACACATTCATTCTGTATTCAAATCACAGAAGCCAAAGGCAGGATAGGGTCTGTTACCTCACTGCTAATTTCCCTAGCAAATAAACCAGCAGCTGCAGGTCCATGAACCAAGTTACCACTACGAACAGGACACTGATTACATGGGGCAGGATGTCTTGATGGAGCCCTTCAGCAGCACAACTGGGGTCTGGCAATGCAAAATATACCTCCTTCTCCTAGGTAAGTCACTGCCTGAATTTTGTTTTAGCTGTTTGTGTTTTTTCCAGATTGTGGGCAGAAGGCAAATATTTGTCTTAGGCTCAGATAAGTCACTCAAAGGCACAGTTTTCAGCAATGCACTTGAAAGCAAAGAGGCAACAGCATTAAACAGAAATGATGTTAAATGAGTAGATAGCTATTGTTTTCTTCCTACTGCAACAATTATTGTTAAAGCACTCATTGGAATAAAGACATTCCAAAAACTTCATCAATTTCAGTTATATAAAGATCCAATAGTCCTTAATGCAATTTATTTTCACAAATATTTTGTAGAGTATGAATTTATAGTGAAATTCAATGCAACTTGTAAAAAATTTGTTTTAATTCAAAACATTGCTATAAATTATTAGCTCAGCTTTATCTTAAATTACTTAGTTCTAAGAAATAGAGAAGAGGTTGAGGTTCCCAAGTGTCCAAAAAGATTTTATACGCAATAGAGAAAAATGTGTTTCAAATAATGTGTTTTTTCCTCCAAAATGCCTTTAGCATTTCTCTTTGCCTAATGGCTAGTTCCATTAATTTTTTTCTTTTAATTATTTTCTCTCTTTCTCCCATTCAAGTAGATTTACAAAGCTTTTCTACATTGCCACTATACATCTGTCATAAATATTTTCAACAAATGTTCTATTCTTATTTAGTTTCCAGTTTAGTGTATATTTAACAGACAGAAGTTTAAATACAGACCTTATTCTTTAAATTTTAAGAACTTGCTAAATTAGAAATTTGTTTTAATATTCAGTAATTCAGATAATTTCTTTGCCTAAAATAGTTTGTTACAGCTTTTATTATGAAGGTTTTTATCCTAGTGTTGTACATATTCCATATTTGAAATGTACTGTTCATATTTTTTAACATTTATGAGTTGACCATGGGTAATTAATACAATATTATCAAATTCAGGCATCCTCCATATGTATTTGTTATTTTTAAAGAAGTTAAGCAATCACCACAATTGACTTTTTATCTTGGTGTATTTTTCTGGGCTTCAAAAATACCCCGTGCCTCCCATAGTTTTAATGTAACACCAATACTCTTATTTTAAAAATAATGTTTTTGCAATTTGGTTTTGAGAGAAACTTAGAAACATTTCATTTCAGGAACTCAACTGAACTAAAGTAGATGAATAAATTAATTTAATAAAAGCTAATGTGATGAATTTAACTTTAGAGAAAAGGCATATTTATAAGTAGTTAAAACAGTTTTGCCCCTTGAAACCTTCTTCCTTCTGCAAATGTACTTTTTTTTCTGTTGGTAGGGAGCTGCAAAGACCTTTGATGATATGAAAATCTGTATTGAATTTCTGGGTTTTTTTAATCCAAAAATCTGAAGCCCAAAAATGCAGTTTGTAAAGTTTATTCAGGTTAAAATCTTATAATAACTATTTGTCTGTTTTCTCTAATGATGCAAGGGTTTATTTTTAGTCAACAATAGTTGTGTTATGTTTGCTAATATCAAATATGATAATGGGGAAGTAAATGTCAACTATTTCCAGCTACAACTAGAGGTCACTTTGTAAAGTCTGATGTTTATATTAAACACAATGAAACTGGTCTAGGGAGTTTTTTGTTGTTGGACTAGAGATAAATTTTACAATATGACTTCAATTGTTTCTTAACACTTACTACTCCTTTTTAATTACTCTTACACAGCTTGAGACTCTCTCTAAAGAGAAGACTGTTGCCTATTTTTTTTTTCACAAAATCAAATCACAAATCATCCTGTTATTCGTCGATTGCCTCGAGCAGGCCCCAGTAACGTCTCTTTCATCCTAGCCCTGAGATTATATTCAAGGCTCTTTGGGAGAATGAGACCCATCATTGTTACTGGTATTTGGCATATTTGGTATGCCACGGGGAGTTTGCCAGACTCTGCCGTGTGGGCAGGCTACATTCGGTAGCCTGCCAGTTATTTTTTTTTATATCTGATAATTAGTTGTATAGGGCTGGAGCGATAGCACAGTGGGTAGGGCATTTGTCTTGCATGCAGCCTACTGGGCCGACCCAGGTTCGATTCCTCTACCCCTCTCCGAGAGTCCAGCAAGCTATTGAGAGTATCTTGCCCACACAGCAAAGTCTGGCAAGCTACCCGTGCCTTATTCGCTATGCCAAACACAGTAACAACAAGTTTCACAATGGAGCTGTTACTGGGCCCGCTTGAGCAAATCAATGAACAATGGGAGGACAGTGCTAATTAGTTGTATTATCAGTGTTTCTCCAGATTAGTGTAATGCCTTGTAAAACAAAAAAAGTTAGCAGTTTTCCTTTTTTTAGTCAAAATTATTAATGTTGTGATAATATAATTGGATTTTCATTCAAGTTTGAGTATATGAAATATCAAATGGAAACTGAAATTTCCTTAAACTGCATTCTCTTGAAGTTTGTTCATACAAGGTTGACTGTCTAATATCAGAAGTTTTAGAAACTTGGATTTTCTCGTATAGCTAGGAAAGAGCTCTTGAAAACCTCTCAAATAAGGTTATTTTTTTTACGTTTGCAAACTATTGTTTTAACAGCACAACTCACCTTAACTGCCATGAGAAGTATAGCAATGGCAATGGCAGAAGAGTTTGTGTTCCTAAAATGTAACAGAAACATCTAATTATTCATTTCTTCTCAAAGTTCATTGCATGTAAAGATTGCATCAGGTGAATAGGTTCATGCCTTTCCTGTATAATGGAAAGATTTTAGGTGACTGAGATGAGAACTATATAGAGAAAAGTTCATTCTTTGCTGACATTCTTATAGCTTGCAACCTATAATGTATCTGATAAAACTAGTGTAAGCAATCTGAGCAAATCGCTACTGTGTCTCTCACTGTCACATATGATGTGATTACATATTGTTTGATGTGCAAGAAACATTGAATTTATTCAGAAATATTGATGGAACTGTATTATTTAAAGTGTTATTATGTGATGCCATTTCTAAAATAGCCAAATATCTAGTTCGCTCTCCTTAAACAATTTTTCTGTGTCATGTAAAATATTATTTTCTACTAGTTTCATTTTCCTCTGGAATGAAATCTTTGTGTTGCATTTAATATTTTATGAAATGACATTTGTTTCTCATAACCACAGTTATAGACTTTCCAACCTTTTCCATATTGAGTCAACATTTGATTCAAAACCTAAAACTCACCAACTTTCCAAACACTCAATAAGAATCAAGTAATTAAGTTGATTTCCACTCATTCTTACAATATTATGATCTGTTAATTTTTCAACTCCAACTACAAAAAAGGTAGATTAAAAAAAGTGTTCATCCCCATTTCAGAAAAGAACTTCTGCAGTGACCACAGAATTATAAAACCATGTTGTATTTAGGCTAATATCCATATCACAGTCAAGCAGTGTCTTCGAGTTTAAGCTGAGACCAATATTAAATGGAGCGGTAAGGGTAAGTTATTAACCAAACTGCCCATTATCAGAGATAACAACTGACAGTGGGCATTTTGGGCACTAACATACTGGTCCAGTTTTATGTTAGCAACCATGCACCTTTTCCCAGAGTTTTCTTGGTCGGTTGGTTTTTGTTTTGGAGCAGCGATTACTTCTGTGTTCAGAGATCACTCCTTGTGGGACTCAGAGACCATATGTGGTACCAGGGATCAAACCCAGGTCTGGTACATGGAAGGCAAATGTTCTACCCACCACACTACCTCTCTTGCCCCTCAAGTGAACTCTTAAGGCAATGATGTCAATTCCCATCCCCATCCCGCCTTGACACCTTAATAGCAAATATAAAATTGTTTGGATAAAACTTAAACACTCCCTTCTGAGTAGCAATAAAAAGAAAATAAAAGGATAATTATGTTGCATATGAGAAAAATTGAAATTCTATACCTGCATTTGTGCTAAAATTTTCATTTCTTCTCACCTACACAAGAATTTTACTTTACCTTAATCCATCTAGTGGACCACTTCCAGAAGCTATGAATATGCTGTTTAAACGTTCACTCAAAGGAAGAAATGCTGTTTCTTCTTCCCCTTCATAGTGTCCCTAAGTGTGTTGTTCATACTCACTGTCTCCCACTTTCCATTCTTTCCTTTTTCCTTATCTATTTGACATACTTAACATTTAATTCCTCAAATTATATCCCTGTTTCAAATTTTTATATGACACTGAGACTGTGCTTCCTTCTTTTCAAATGAAGGCCTCAAAGCAAAGAGAAATCTTAATAAGGATTCTAGCAATATGATTGCCTGTTCAAGGGAGAATTCTCTTCCCTATAGATACATATAATTTCTTCAAAAAATTGAAAAATATATATCATACATCAGGCTAAAGATGGGGAAATCTCCAATGCCAGTACTTGGAAGAAACCTTACAGACCTAGTGTGAGTCTGTGGAACTAAAACACATGGACAGCCAGGAGCCATGGCTATCCACTGAGAAGAATCCTATATACCAAAGGCTCTGCAGGGCCCTCATCTCTCTTAAATCCACTTTAATAAGCCTGCTATGCCCAGTATATACTTTGACTATTGCCTATCCAATGTCTATTGGGCATCTAAAATTAATGTGTTTAAAACTGTTTCTTGGTCTTCCCCTAATACCTGCTGTCTCTATAGTATTTCCTCTGCTTAAATTACCATCTACTACTAAAGGACATCTCCTTTGTTCTACTTGCTCAGGTCAGCAAGCGTGAAATTATTCTCTACTACCCTTTGTTTCTTAAATTCCTCACCCAGTGTGTCAATCAACTCTGCTAACACCTCCAGACTTCTCACAATTTGTCTTTTACTGCCACCCTGATTATAGAATATGACCATGTTGTGCTGTGTCATTGCAGTAACTTCTATGTGGTTTCCCTGCATCTTTTTTTCTTTTAGTTTTTGTTTTCAATTTAAAATATTGTTAATGATGGTTTCATATATATATATATATATATATATATACATATATATATATTTACACCAGTGTCCCCACTTCCTCATTCAAGATTCCAAATGCCCCTCTCAATTTACCCCAAAACTCAGTTTTGTGGCTCAGTTCTCCCATTGTGTTGTCTTTGGCCCTTTGTTGCTACTTTGCTGTGTATCTTTAAGTCCCAAAGATGAGAGATATTCTGAGAGCCATTCCTTCTGATTGATCTCACTCAGCATGATATCCTCTAGTTACATCATGTAAAATTGCATGATTTTGTTCTCTCTTGGATCTTCAGAGTATTCTATTGTATATGTGTAGCACAACTCTTTGATCCATTCATCTGTAGTTGGTCAATTTGGGTTGTTTCCATATTGTGGCTATTGATGAGCAGAGTAACCCATGAACCTTTTCATACTCCAGCTTGAAACATTTTCATAGAATCTAGAGTGCACATTTTTTAAAAGAAGAAAAAATATATATTATCAGTATTCACAAAATTCTGGTTGCATTCCCATCTCACACTAAATAAAATTCTGAGTCTCTGCAATGGTCCTAAGATACTGCCTTAGTATGCCTCATACTGTATAACTCTGCTCACCTTACTGACCTCATGTCTTATTTTGCTCTTGTTTCACTCTGTTCCACTGCTGCTGCTTCTTACTTTTCCTCAAACATTCTACCGACATCCCTGCGTCTAAGCAGGGTGAACTATTCACAACCGATAGTGATCTAATATCATTCTCTCCTTGGGATATCTGCATTTGGAAAGACTTTGGCCTGAGTGAAAAAAATCCAATTATATAATTGTATGACATTTCAGAAAGCTTTACAGAAAGATTGCTGAAGTTAGCCCATTAGCGTTTCTCAAGTCATATTGTCTTCTTTGAATAAACTATGACTCATAGACCCATACACTTACAATGTCAACTGCACTCAAAAGTTCTTTGGACTTTACTACTACTTATCTTTCCCAGTTCTTCCATTTTGCTTCATTCTATAATAGTCATAATCAATGACTTCTGCTTTTCCTCTTTATTTTACTTCTAAAGATGGCATGCAGTCCGTAGTCATTGGGTGAAGTTTTTAAATGCAGAAGTTTTCAGATATTAATGGTTAGTTCTGCAAATAATTATAAATAGAATGGTCAGTGTTGAGGAGCCTCACTCTCTTTGAAAAGGACTATCATCCCATTCAGTTCTCTCTATTTCCTCAGCATATTTTGAAATGTGGCTTGAGGTCCTCATAGCATTCTTTTCCTTTGTAGCAGGCTCTTGCTTGGGGCTAAAAGTGGCAGTACCATCACATACCGTCCATGGCATCAGGGGTCAGGCCCTCTACCTCCCTGTGCACTATGGATTCCACACTCCAGCATCAGACATCCAGATCATATGGCTGTTTGAAAGACCTCACACGATGCCCAAATACTTACTGAGCTCTGTGAACAAATCTGTGGTCCCCGACTTGGAATATCTAAACAAGTTTACTATGATGCCACCCAATGCTTCTCTACTCATCAACACACTGAATTTCACCGATGAAGGCAGTTACATCGTAAAGGTTAACATCCAAGGAAATGGAACTCTTTCAGCTAGTCAGAAGATACAGGTCACTGTTGATGGTGAGTATTTTCTGCGCATACTGGGCAGCTGGGGAACATGGTTGCGATTGACAACTTGATAGGTAGATTTACTGTGTTCTGGCTTTGTAGGCTTTGGAAAAAGAATTGATTGGCCCTTAAAGCCTCAGTGTCTTATGACATGAATGGCATCTGTTTTAGGAAGCTTGCTGAGGATTAAATGATCCATATATATATATATATATATATATATATATATATATATGGAAGGCACCAGGTAAAGGTGATAAAATGAAGAATTAAATGCTCTTTGTTTTCTTGAACCTATGAAGTATAAACTTGCTGAAACAATGCAGTGAAGAAAATCTTATTTCTCTCAATATTAGAATGCTCCTTACAAAGAAACTTATTTATATAATACAAAGATTTCTATTTTGGTTCGCTGTCTGGGGGAGGATAAGACTTGCTCATGAATCATACTTAAAGAATAATCAAATCTGTTGAAAATGCCCGCTCAAAGAGAGTAGGGTTAGATCATTTTCAATGTTTATTTTTCATATTGAAGAATATAAGTGACATGTCTTAAGTATACTATTCCTAAGGCCCAACTCCTTATTTCTCTTCTCTAAACCTGCTTAACTCTTTCCCTGTATTTTTGTAACTTCCAGTTCAATTGATCAGCTCCAAACCTTCAATCATCATTGACCCTTTTTTTTCTCACAAGCACATCTAGTACCCATAGTGCTCCAAACTATCAGCTTTTTATTCAAAATATAGACCAAGATCAAGTACTTCTCACCACTCAAATAACACTCTAATCCACTTTATTATTAGTTCTGGTTTCAACTATCCTAATAACATCTCAGTCAGTCTCTCTGCATCTACTTTTGCTACCTGAAATTTATAATTCTCTTACAAATTTCTGACATACAGAGTAAATTCCAATTATCTAAAAGGTCAAGCACAGAATCCCTAGCTATCCCACAGCAGTCTGATCCGATTTCCCTCCAGATACTCTATTCTGGTCATACTGTTTTTATTTTCTTTTCAAAACACTTACCCCTGGGCCTTTGTATGTGCTTATTATATAGTTTCCTTCTATCATTAATATCAACATTATCCCCTCCATTACTTTCTTTAGCTCTTAGGAAAAACTATATCATTTATTTTTAGTCTTTCCTGATCACCTGATATAAAATATACCTCATCCCCCTAAACATAACACATGCAAGCACACATGTACACACAATGCAAAGAGGGAGTGACCTACTCTCTGAGTTCTGCTTTATTCTTTTAACAGTGCTAATTTCTACTTTTTTTCATTATGCATTTTTATTTGCTTATTCAATCTTTTTCTTGCCTAGAATACAGGGTCCATGGCAACAGTGACATTGTATTGTTTGCTGCTTTGTCTTCAGTGTCTAAAACCTGTTGCCAACCTTTTATTAAGGTGCTCAGTAATTCTATGTGTAGTAAATAAATGAGACTGAAGGTGGGGCTGGGGGAGGAGGGAGGGTGTAGGAGAAGGAATCTGGGCACAGTTGTTAGGGGGAAGTTGTTAGGGGGAAGTTGACATTGGTGATGGCATTGGTGATAGAACATTGTATGTCAAAAACCCAATCATGAATAAGTTTGTAATTCACAATGCTTTAATAAAATAACATTTTAAAAAATAAATAAATTGATGACATTGGGAAGGAAGGAAGGGAGGGAGGGAGGGAGGGAGGGAGGGAGGGAGGGAGGGGAAAGGAAAGAAAGAAAAGAGAGCGAGAAAGAGAAGAAAGAAAGAAAGAAAGAAAGAAAGAAAGAAAGAAAGAAAGAAAGAAAGAACTGTGAGGGATAAAGATATTGGAGGTAGAGCCAGATGCTTCTGAAGACAAGTGAGAGAACATTCTAAAGGGTAATTTCATGAAATATTCCTGCATAGTATTTGATATTTCCACAAAAGTCTTAATTGAATATTCATTGCTTGTTAACATGTAGTAAAATTGGATCTATTTAAGGAAATGAAAACCCAAAATGCCTTTAATAAGAATTTAGGACCTACATTTTAAAAAAATCTCTGGAAACTTTGACATCTGAGCTAAATTATTTCAGTCAAGTATATGACCTCAGTCATATACTGCGTACCAATAACTAAAGATATGTTCATCTCAGTGAGACTTGGCCACATGTCATGTTTTTTTAACTTTGCCCAAATCATATATCTTTACACTCACAGACATGTTTGATGCATATGCCTTTTTTTTTTCCCACATAAACTCCTGTTTCCTTCTTGAATCCTAACAGCGTAAACAAAAGCTATTCAAAATTCTCTGTTCGTTCTAGGTTAAGATAAAAGACTAAATTAAGTCAACAGGCCAACTGATTGCACCTGTCTTAAGAAAACCTGGAGCATTAGAACTCCTTGACATTCTGCAAGTTACCTTCCATCCCTCTTTTTCCTTTACTTTCTTTTCCCCCTTTCTTTTATAGGCTGATGGTTCGTTTCTGTTTGTATGCAAAATGTACATACAAAGATGAGTCAGTTCTAATAAGCATGATAGAAAAGCAAAATCTAAATATTGGAGCCAAATAGTCTGTCCTTTCTGTAACATCTCCCTCTTGGTGTCCTGTAATCTTACATGAAAAATTAATGAGTGCCACTTTCTCTAAAATTCAGGAGAGAAAAACCACCAGATTTAAAGTCCTCTTTGTTTTGCTCACTGTGCCAGTCACTAACCTTTATTAAACAGCGTTAGGACTTTCAGAGATTAATAAGGGTTTCTGAAAATGGTTGTGGATACTCATATAATCCCCACCTTTGCCAAACTATTTTAGACTTAAAACTTGGGGAGGAAATATTTACTCTCTCTTGGAAATGTATTCATTTGACAAACATCATTAACTGCCAACTGTGTAAAAGACTCATGAAATAAAACTCTTTTCCTATTACTTGAAGGTAAAACAGAAATTGCTATTGAGTTTGTCTTTCTTATCTTTAATGTGATGTAATCCAAATAATACATTTGATGTTATTTTCAGATTGAGTCAAAGTTGAAATGTAGGCTTTAGTGTAATAATGTCATAATGTAACAAAATTCAAAGCAATTGAAATGTGTAATTTTCACTTCTATAAAAAGAAAAGTAAATGTTCATAATGTGATTCTCAAAAACTTTCTTGTTTCCCCATAAGTATATATTTTGCAGATGTTTGACTGAAATTTGTATTAATCACATTTACCTTTACCAACTACTATTTATGACATTATTCAAAATTTTTTAAAGCAGGAATTGTTGAATAATTTTTTGTTTTGATTTTAGCCTACAGCTGGTGGCGCTGGGAATTGCTCCCTGTGTTCTCAAAAGACCATGTAGTAGCAAAGATCCAACCAAGTGAGCACACTCAGAGCATGTGCTCCAGCTCTTTGAGCTAGCTCCCCTTCCCCGACCGTGTCGATTTTATTATAATAATGCACCTTATTGGGCCAAAGAATAGTATATGGTGGGTAAAGCATTTACCTTGCTTATGGCTTACCCAGGTTCTATCCCCAGCATTCTATATAGTCTCCTGAGCACCACCGAGAGTGGTATCTGTGTTCAGAGACAAGAATAAGACCTAATCACCACCAAATACACCCATAAATGAATACATATTAATATATAAATATAATGTCACTGTGTTTGGCATACGAATACATCATGGGTGGCTTGGTATTCAATATGCCAAACACAGTAACAACAAAATCTCCAATGGAGACGTTACTGGGCCCACTCGAGCAAATCGATGAACAACGGGAGGGCCTTTACCTTTACCTTAATGTCACTGTATCACTGTCATCCCATTGTTCATTGATTTGCTCGAGGGAGTGCCAGTAACATCTCCATTAGTCCCAGCCCTGAGATTTTAGCAGTCTCTCCTTACTCGTCTTTCCCAACGCTGTTGTATCTGAGGCTCTTTCAGGGTCAGGGGAATGAGACCCATTCTTGTTACTGTTTTGGGCATATCGAATACACCAAGGGGAGCTTGCCAGGCTCTGTCATGCATAAAGTTTATAAATATAAGTTATGGTCACGGTTCTCCCATTGTTCATCAATTTGCTCGAGCGGGCCCAGTAACATCTCCATCGTGAGACTTGTTACTGTGTTTTGGCATTTTTATATAAATATATATAAATGTATATACATATGTATTTCTCTGTGTCTTGTATTGGGAAAGCACAATGAATAGGAAGAAAGGAAACTGGAGTTCTCTTCTACTAATTACATTATCTATAAAGGTTATTTTTTAAAATCCTTTAACAATAATGTCTAGTTTGGGGAGGTATCTCAGAGGACTGGAAACACACTTTGCATAGTAAAGCTCTGTTTCCAATTTCCAGCATACCAGGTACTACCAGGAATTACTTCCAAATGCCAAGCTAAAGTAACCCTAGCACTGCTGTGTGTGACCCCAAAATAAAGAGTGAGCTCTATAATTTAGCAGTGTCTGCTATAAATGATATATTTTATATTTTTCACTTTACTTTCCCAATGACATTTAATTTTTTTTACAATTGCTCTAGTTGTTTTTATAAGTCATAAAACTTTGAAAATAGAGGGCCCAAGAATATATCAGAGATAGAATGCCTACATTGCAGGCATGAAGCTACAAATTCCACCACTGCTACCACCCCTTGCTGAGTGCAATCTCAGTTGCACTATCACTTGGGACCACAGTGCTAGATTAAGACGTGTCATCTCTGACATATCCTGAGTTTGTATGAGCAAATTTCAGTCAATTATGCCATCTGCAGCAAGCATCATAACAAAGTATATAAGTTCTGCAACCAAGCATGCGACTTAATATTCGAAAGAGCTCATATTATTCCATTATTCCATCTAATTCCATGGTGTAAAAAGTCAGTTCTCCTTTGATGTTGCAGATCCTGTCACAAAACCAGTGATACAGTCTCAGCCCACCTCTGGGGCTGTGGAGTACGTGGGAAACATCAGCCTAATGTGTCTAGTGGAAAGCGGCACCCGACTCCTCTACAAGTGGCTAAAAAATGGAAGGCCTCTCCACACCAGAGCTACCAACTCCTTTTCTCCACAAAACAATACCCTTCACATTTCTCCAGTAACCAAAGAAGACATTGGGAACTACAGTTGCCTGGTGAAGAATCCTGTCAGTGAGATGGAAAGTGACATTGTTACACCGACAATATATTGTAAGTTTAAAAAAATATTGTATATATATTATGAGTTTTGTTCTGGGTAGTTTCACAAAGCTCACTGAGAAGATCCACCAGATAGTTTTTGCTATTTGATTTTTACCATTATTGTTAGTGCACAACTCATTGTAATTACTTTTCCTAGCAATGTCTTGTCATAAAATATGATCTATGTCCACAAGCCTGTTCATTAAAGTTCAATTTGATATGCCCACTAAAGGCCTCTTAGGACACATTTTGTGATTTAGTCCATTTTGTTAACTTATTCTCAATGGAAAATCAGAACCTCAATTTCAAGAGCCTTGAAGTACCATTTTTAGAGGACCAATACATCAAGACTACTTTCAGAAGAAACAGTTATTCTGCAGTAAGGCATTGAGGTCTCCGGGGACTCTGTCATTATTTTAAATTTCAATTTTCTATGACTCTGTTTTTGTGGTAGCTACTTTTATGGTTTAACCTCATGTACAGAGCTAGTTTCATCAAATTCTTCAGTTCATACCATAGTATTATTTGCTAGACCAAACACGGTTCCTCTCTTTGGTTGTTTACATTACTCTCCTTTTCACCATGTTTAACATTTCACTCTAATTTTAGCTTAAGCAGAGTTTCTTAACTTCCATACTACCCACATTTTGTCCTGGACAGTTCTTTCTTGTGGAGGTTGTCCAATATACTTGGACTTTATCCACTATATGCAAAGTAGCAACCCCTTCAGTTTTAACAACTAAAATGTCTCTAGACATGACATATGTCTTTAAAAGGGAGAAATGAGTTAAAGGGAACAATATCTCTGCTGTTTAAGAACCTGTAACACATCACATTGGGACATCTTCTGTCAGATGCCCTGGAGTTCATACAGTAGCTTACTAAGGAAAGTGAAGCATTACAAAAGAAAACTTTTCTTCTGTGACTTGAGAATAGGGGTTTCAACTGTTGGATGATAGAATTTATAAACATAGAATTAAGCCTGGTAAATATAATTATGCACATTAGCTTATTTGTCAGTTCTACCAACATAATATTGGAAGAGGTCTACAATACCTACTGTTCAAGTACTTAGGACTAATCAGATGGTAAGTGTGATACTAGTTCGGTGACTATCCCTAAGCAAATCCCTTGACTTTTTTGAGCCCTATGTAAAATGGGAATTGTTAAAATAATTTAATAGATGGCTGTGGTTAAAGTTAACTTCAATTTATTTTAGTTGAACTGCTTTTAATTATCAATATCTGTGTTCTATTTTCTTTAATGTAGACAGCCCTCTTGAAAAGTGTATGATTATTAACTCTCTGAGGAAAAAGTGCATTATCATACTTACAAAATGTAGGTATTCCCAACTGGATAAGCTTAATTATAGAATTCAACTCCTATAAGGGGCATTTGAAAGGGGAATGTTAACAAGAGGAGTACAGTAGAGTCATATAGGTATACAATAAATTTTTGTGCAACAGCAAAATTAAGCAAAAGAAAATGCAATCTTGAAACTGGAAATTATATTTTAGTAGAATAGAGATATGCACTATAAAATATATGATGTAGATGTTCATAGTTAGCACAGGGGAATTTACAAATTAGATAGAAGCTAGGAACAAGAAGTCTGGAGTCTCTAGACTGAGTTCAAATCCTAAATCTACTACCTTATCTCTTTGTACTTCTGTTTCTTCATCTATGATAGGAAATATTTTGTTTTTTTTAGTAAATTGCTCGGAGGAGTGGCTTTCTTGTTGAAAGCATCATATGAATATTAGCTGTTGTTATCACTATATTACTATTAGCCTATGTCAGTTCAGGGAGTAAAACATTACTTCTGGATGGAAAGAAGGTTCACTGAAGAAAATGACATTTGAAATGAACCTTGAACAATGGTTATGATTGAACAATGGTTATGACAGTGTCTGGAAATGCTGTTTTAGTCAATTGGGAACAATAGGAGTCTAAAAGTATATTAAAGTTCAAAATATTTTACAAAGGATTTTGCTATGAGGGGAACTGAAGGACAGATAGACAGCTGCATTTAAGTAAGATTGTGAAGAGCTTTGAAAACCTTTCATCATTTGGAAAAGTCACTTAATCACTTAATCACTTAATCCCCATTATTCATCGATTTACTCGAGCAGGTGCCAGTAATGTCTCCATTCATCCCGGTTGCGTGCTAGCGTAGCCCAATGGTATCTGTTCATTCTAGGAACATGCAGAGTCTCAAACCGATCATTCAGGATCTTGACGAAGAAGTCTGACCATCTTGTAGGTGGGCGTCCACGTGATCTTTTGATGTCCCGTGGAATCCAATCAGTAATGGCTCTAGTCCAGCGGTTGTCTGTAAACCTCATTATGTGTCCAGCCCATCTGATTGTTGATGTCTTGGCAAATGAGACAGCGTCCCTGATTCTTGAGCGTTGACGAAGATCAGAACTCCGGATTCTATCTCTCATTTGAGTGAATCGTGATATTCCAAGCATAGCTCTTTTGATTCCTCTTTGAATTTGGAAAAGAAAGAGGAAAATTTCTTTCTAAGCAAAGGTCCTTATAAAAAATACTAAAGAATCATTTATAAATAAAGACACATGCATATATCTGGGCTAATCAAGAAATATTTGTAAAGAGAACACATTTTCAGGATGCATCAAAAATGTCATATGGAGAAATAGAACAGCAGTTAAGGTGTTTGCCTCGCACACAGCCACCCCGATTCTATTCCCAGAAACCCATATGGTCCCCCAAGCTTATCAGGAATGACCCTGAGCTCAAGGCCAAGAGTAGACCCTGAGAACAGTAAGGTCTGAACTCAAAACAAAATAAAAAAGTCATGCAAGTAAAAATGTATATCAGAAAGCAAAAAGGGACAGTAGGATATTTTGCATTAAACCAAGAAATATAGAAAAAAAATTGAATAGTTTGGGGCTCTATAAAGTAATTAATCATATCTAGAGCAATTTGAAAGTATTTTTAATGTAAAAGTAATGTCATATAGAAATAGAAAAATATTTTACATATTGATTGAGCGATTTTGTTCTGGGGTAGGAGAACTAAACAATATAACCACTAGATTAATTTGGCTTAGAATTCTCTCCTATACTTGTAGATCTGTATTTCCATCTATTTATTGATCTTCAAGTACTAACCATAGACTTAAATGAAAAAATTCTGGGTGAAATTAAATACACCATTATAGGCATATGATAACATCAACCATAGATAGATAGATAGATAGATAGATAGATAGATAGATAGATAGGCATAAAATAGACTGGAGCGATAGCCCAGCAATAGGGCATTTGCCTTGTGCGCGGCCAATCGGAACTACCTGAGTTCAATTCCTCCACCCCTCTTAGAGAGCCCGGCAAGCTACCGAGAGTATCTCACCCGCACAGCAAAGCCTGGCAAGCTACCCTTGATGTATTCGATATGCCAAATACAGTAACAAGTCTCACATTGGAGACATTACTGGGGCCACTCGAGCAAATCGATGAACAACGGGAGGACAGTGCTAAAGTGCTACAGGCATATAATAACATCAACTAGATATGCACTGTAGCACTGTCCTCCCATTGTTCATCGATTTGCTCAAATGGCACCAGTAACGTCTCCATTCATCCCTGTCACATGCTATTGTAACCCAATGGCATCTGCTAGCTCCAGGAACACGAAGTAAGACTTGTTGTTACTGTTTTTGGCATATCAAATATGCCATGGGTAGTTTGCCAGGCTCTGCCGTCAACTATATTTATATATGCATATTTGCTTTTTGGGTCATACCGGGCAATGCACAGGGGTTACTCCTGGCTCTGCACTCAGGAATTACTCCTGGCAGTGCTTAGGGGACCATATGGGATGCTGGGAATCAAACCCGGATCCGCTGTGTGCAAGGCAAATACCCTACCCTCTGTGCTATCTCTCCAGCCCCACATCAACTATATTTTTAGTTCTCTTTGCTGGAGCGATAGCACAGCGGGTAGGGCGTTCGCCTTACAAGCGGCCAACATGGCCGACCCGAGTTCGATTCCTCCGCCCCTCTCGGAGAGCCCGGCAAGCTACCGAGAGTATTCGATATGCCAGACACAGTAACAACAAAGTCTCCAATGGAGACGTTACTGGGCCCGCTCGAGCAAATCGACGATCAACGGGAGGGCCTTTACCTTTACCTTTACCTTTGTTGGATATATAATTTATTTTAATCCAGCAAAGTAAAAACAGAATCTTTCACAGTCTGTCAGTTCATACCCAGGTTCATTATCTTGACAGAATAGGGTGATAAACAGTGTGACATGTATAAAATATAACTGCCACTGTCACTGTCCTTCTGTTGATCATCAATTTGCTCGAGCGGGCCCAGTAACTTCTCCATTGGAGACTTTGTTGTTACTGTGTTTGGCATATCGAATACGTCACAGGTAGCTTGTCAGGCTCATTTTATTATTATTTTTGTTATTTTTATTATATGTTTAATATATTAAACATTGTATTAAACATAATATAAAACATAATAATAAAACATATAATAAATATAATAATAAAACATATTATGATTTAAATTTCTATATCTTCCTTTTTTGTGTTGAAAAAATTAAATATCCTAGTTTCAGGACTTGGAGAGAGTGATAGAACATGTATTAAGGTGCTTGCCTTGCCCATGGCTGATCGCACATTTATCACATAAGTATTTATGGAGAGGTCCCTGCATATGGCCTTTCCATGCTAAATTCCAATTTTAGTGATTAAGATTTTACAGAGCATATTGTTTAGAGAGAGACAATATTCGTCTTTAGATTTTTTTTAGTCTATGGGAATAGCACAGTGGGTAGGGCATTTGCCTTGCATGCAGCCAACATGGCTGACCCGAGTTCGGTTCCTCCACCCCTCTTGGAGAGCCTGGCAAGCTACTGAGAGAGTATCTCACCCACACGTCAAAGACGTACTCGATATGCCAAACACAGTAACAACAAAGCCTCAGGATGGAGACGTTACTGGGCCAGCTCGAGAAAATCGATGAACAA